ACTCACTCGCCTTGCTAATATTCTTGTATATGATTCGATTTTTGATGATTGAAAAAATCTCTATCCCTCTGGCAGATTGCCTCATGATGTCTGTTGTTGCAATTTTCTGCTTCCCTGATATGCTTAATGATACCATCAGCATCTTAACTAGTTGGCGTTGCTCCATTCTCCTTTACTCTCCAGCACAACCTATTTACTTTATCCTATAATTGAATTTTAGGTCAACTGATTACGGCACCACGTATGAGAAACTTAATGAGAAAGTTGGGCTGAAAACCATACTGAGCTACTTGTACGTGAGTCCGAACAACAAGAGGAAGGTACGTTTCTGCATGCATGTCATGAAAAGTCCTGCCTGTGTTGAATAAATCTGTCAATTACTCTCACTGTGTTGCAGAGACACTATTTTCAATACGCAGCCGCAGCCCCACAGGAATCTGCACCCTGGGTTTCTCTCGAGCGTGTGCATTGCATAAGCACACTTAAGCCCTGTGGACTGGATGCTGTCAAGGTGGCTCACTGATTCCCCCGTCTCATTTCTCGTCTCGTCTCAGATCATGTTGCTGACTGACCCGGAGGTGGAGAGCAGCCTGCTCATTAGCCTTGACGAGGGGGCGTCCTATCAGAAACACAGCTTAGCCTTTGATATCCTCAGTCTGCTTTTTCACCCAGAGCAGGAGGACTGGATTCTGGCTTACAGCCACGACCAAAAGGTAGAGTGTGTGCGTCGCTGGCAGGTGGCGTGAAATAGCTGGAATAAAAACTGAATATGTGACACATCGAAAAAAAAATCTCTGGGTGGAAATAAAGGTTGTTGCATATGGTTAACCTGCTGGTTGTGATGCTAGCTGGGTTTGAGGGCACTGCCAGATTGATTTTAGATTATACAGCACAAGCCTGTTGGGTAACAACACAAACAATATCCCTATAAAATGATACAAAACATAGGTTCCTACAAAAGACAAAAGCTTTTATTCTGATGATAGTGGCTGGCTCTCAGGACATGGTCATCACGAGCCGAGACATCTGCCACTCACACCAGAGCTGCAGTTGCCAAGGCATCGAGGCAGCTGATAACCTGCCCCCATAAACAAGTCATGAGGTCTGACTGCGGAGCCAAACTGTGAATGTGTCCTAGAGAGCACAAGCAAAGTCAACAAGTGAGACACACCCAAACAACACAAAAGCTCACACACACAGTGGCATAAACACAGACCCTTCATTACTCTGTGTGTGAGAACCCCGCTGTCTGCTTCACTCAACACCACACACATCACTCGGCCTCCCGGCCCGCTTTTGGAAGACTTGACTTTCCCAGAGAAAAACAGTCAAGGTCTGAGAAGTGAAATAAATGGTGCAGGGAGGAGGATGAAAGCTTTCGTCGAGAGCCAATCAATGGGTCAAAATAGAGACGCTGGAAAGGAGTTTACATTCTGGTCTCTCTGGATGTCTTTGTAAAGCCAAATTCCATCAGGGTTTTTTTTTTCCACTTTTATCACTGACAGAACGAAATTAATCTGTGCTTGGTTTCATTTTACATGTATCGATTGTCTGCCATGTCTTTTCAAAAGACGAAGCTCTTAGATGAGTGAAAATGATGTTGCTTATCCTTGTAAAGCTCTGAGCTTAAGAAGCTTGCTCCTCCATCATTATGGCAAGATGACAGGCCCTGTGAATGTTTCATACCAGGACCCTGATCTTTGCTATTTTTAATTTGATTTTTTTATTCTAGAAACATGGCTTCAGAGCATCATTGTATTATTTATAGGAGCTGATGCATTTTCACAATGTGCTCCGCAGTGAACTATTCACAGGAACATTAACACATTGATGCCGCACAACCTTGACAGCTCCTTGATAATGAGAGTTGTACATAAATCTGGAAATAGTTCTCGTTGGGTGATTTGACTCTGAGAATTATTCTTCATACTGTATCTCATTTGGTTAATGCATTCTTCTCATTTTTCAGCTCTACGTCTCTGTTGAGTTTGGCAGAAAGTGGCAGCTCGTGCACGAAGGTGTCGTCCCCAACAGATTCTACTGGTGAGATTAACAAGCATTTGAAGCATGCTTGACTGTCAGGGAGTAAAATGCAGGAACATTTTTGATATGTCATAGATATATGAATAATAACAGTTATTACAGTTATTATTTAAAATACCTTCACTGTGCAT